CCCAGGCTGGCCTCGAACTCACAGAGATCCGCCTGGCTCTGCCTCCTGAGTGCTGGGATTAAAGGCGTGCGCCACCACCGCCCGGCCTATTTTATTATTTTATGTGAGTATTTTGCCTGCTTCTGCGTCTGTGCGCCACACGCCATGTAGTGCCCTCGGGGTGGGGCGGGGGAACAGAAGAGGGCACCAGCTCCCATGGCACTGGAGTTACAGACGCCTGTAAACCTCCATGTAATGGTTGTGCTGGGAATGGAACCCAGGTCCTCCTCTACCGGAGCGGCCTGTGCTGCTAACCACTGAGCCACCTCTCCAGCCCCGCCCACCGCATTTTCAGACACGCTGTGTGTGGGGATCCCATCCGCCTTGTTCCCGCCCGCACCCCGCCGCCCGCAGTCACTGCCTTTGCCCTTCCGCATCACAGGGGTTCTATCACCTCCGCATCTCTCTTCCTTAGAGGCTCCTGTCTCCTCTCGTGTTCCTTTTCTCCTTTCCCGGCTCGACCCACACTCACTCCCACGGAAATACAAATGTACACAGATCAACCGCCGTGGACCCGCTAGGGGGCTCAGCTTCGAGGGCCCTTGCCGCCAAGCCCGACTTTCTGAGACGCATATCAGGAGCAGGGCTGAAGAGACGGCTCAGTTGTTAAAAACGCCCTGCTGCTCTTCCAGAGGGCCAGAGTTCAGTTCTCAGCACACAAGCCTCTGGCCTCTACAGGCAACCAGATACATTAAGAAAAAAACCTTTTTAAAAACCAGAAATCCTGGGCTGGAGAGATGGCTCAGAGGTTGAGCATCGACTGTTCTTCCAGAGGTCCTGAGTTCAATTCCCGGCAACGATATGGTGGCTCACAACCATCTGTAATGAGATCTGGTGCCCTCTTCTGTATACATAATAAATAAATAAATAAATCTTAAAAACAAAAACCAGAAATCCAGGCGGTGGTGGCACACGCCTTTAATCCCAGCACTCAGGAGACAGAGGCAGGCGGATCTCTGTGAGTTCGAGGTCAGCCTGATCTACAAAGCGAGATCCAAGCCAGCCAAGGCCGCACAGAGAGACCCTGTCTTGCAAGCTAACAAACAAAAAAAATTAAAAAAAAAACAGAAATCCACATAAAGCTGTCCTCTGACCTTCATGTGTGGTGTGGAGAGAGGGTCAGGAAGGAGGTGGAGAAACACACACAAAATAAATAAACGCAAAAAAAAAGAGCTATTTCAAATAATAACCAAAATTTAATTTTTAGAAAGAAAAGAATTTGGGGGACACAGTTCAGCCCATCGTTCATGAAACACATCCGTGTGACTGCTGAGGGGGTGGGAGCGAGGCGCCAGGAGAGATCAGCTTCTGGCAAGAGAAGCAAAGGGAGCGGCCGAAGTGTGGGATGCACACTTCGGATTATTGATTGGAAGGGCGCTCTTCCCCGAGACGGTTCGCTTTTATGTATTGGAATAGGGTTGCAATAAATCTCGCTGTCAAGATGTGCGGTGCACAACCCTGCTGCAATCAGAGCTTCCCTGGGAAGACATACTGACTTGCCAGACTGAAGAAAATGAAGGCAGGGTCCAGGAAATGAGCAGGGGCGGGGGGGGGGGGGGGGGGGGATTGAGGAACAATTCCAAGAGAGGTCTTTTGCAGGCAAAGCTGAAATTCTCTCTTTCTCTCTCTCTTTCCAGGCAGTTTGCCAAGATTGAAGCCGCCACCCAGCACCTGGCCCTCACCATCCTGTCTCAAAAAGCCCCTCCCCAGAGACCAGCCCGAAGGCCGCCTCCACCACCCCCATCCCCCTTCTTGGGAGTGGCCTGCGCTGAGGCCCCCATGGAAGTGCCCCACGACGGCCCCAGCCTGAGCCTAGCTGCCCTGGACACCTCAACCCTCGACCTCTTTGATGACATTCTGCTCACTCCCGCGTGTCCCTGGGTGGCTCCTGACCGTTTCTGTCCGACGCCGGCTGCCGGTATTTCCCGGGAGGCATCTGGTTTCATTTCTCATGGCCCAGGCCCCGGAGACCAGACACAGCCAACCCCAACGCAGGCTCCAAGGTTCTCCAAGCCTCTGGCCCCTCCCCAGAATGCCCACGGGGGAAGCACAGAGCCTGCGGCTCTAGGCTGGGGCTGGGTGGATAGCTGGGAGGCACCTTGTGCCTGGGATCCTCAGGGGATCCGGGAGGGCTGGGGAACCCTTTGAAACCTGTTCGCGACCCAGTCCAAACCCACCTCAAACTCTCTCCCCTTGACAGACCTGAGGATATATATAGCTCAGTTGGTGGAGCGCTTGCCTGACATGCAAGAGGCCCCGGGGTCCATCCCCAGAACCTGTAACCCTGTAAAATAAACCAATCCCAGGCTACCTCGGTGTACCACAGCCCAGAGCTCTGCTCCCAGACCCAGGGACGCCACCTCTGTCCGCTTTGAGGACCCCTTGCACTCCCTGCCCATGAATTTTCCTTTTTCCCTTCCC